ATCCATCCATCCATCCATCCATCCATCCATCCATCCATCCATCCATCTATCCATCCATCCATCCATCCATCTATCTATCCATCTAAGAGAGAGAATATGAAGCAAGCTCTACCAACTATGGGCTTTCCCACATTCATCACAAGCAAAAGGTTTCTCTCCAGTGTGAATTCTCTTATGTTCAGTAAGTCTTCCTCTCTCTACGAAGGCTTTGCCACACTCATTGCAAACAAAGGGTTTCTCTCCAGTATGAATTTTCACGTGTCCTTTAAGTGATGAGCTATTGCTAAAGAATTTCCCACATTCATTACATTTGAATTGTTTCTCTTCGGTATAAAGTTTCCACTGCTCTTTAAGGGATGCACTGAAGGCCTTTACACAGACATACCCTAAACCTTTAAGGACGCCAAGGATTTTAGGAGGGAGAGAAGCAAATGTGTTTCAAGCATTGGTGATAGCCTGTGAAAAAGCAAGGTAGGTGTGTGTGTGTGTGTGTGTGTGTGTGTGCGCGTGTGTGTGTGTACAGGAGGGATGGGCACTGAAATTCAGAATTTAGGAAGCAGTAAGCAGGCTAGTTTGGAATGTAGAGCTCATGAAAGACAGTAGTGTGAAATAAGCCTACAAGGGTAGGTGGAAGCCAGATTCTTTTTTTTTTCCCTTTTTGGTGAGGTGATCAGGGTTAAGTGACTTGCCCAAGGTCACGCAGCTAGTAAATGTTAAGCGTCTGAGACTGGATTTGAACTCAGGTCCTCCTGACTCCAAGGCCAGAGCTCTATTCACTGTGCCATCTACCTGCCCCTTGGAAGCCAGATTCTTAAGAACGAAAAGATAAGCTGGTGCTTCGGGCCTTTGCACATTTATTACATTCCGTGGGCTCCTCTGCTGTATCAAATCTTCAAATAAATTATAAGGCTTATGGCATAGGTAAAGGCTATCCCCATTAATCACGGTTTTATATTTTCTCTCCAGCATGAACTCTTTCATGTTTCCTTAGAGAAGAGCTGGTTCGAAAGGTCTTCCCACATTCATTACATTCAAAGGGCTTCTCTCCCGTATGAATTCTTTTATGTACACTAAGGTTTCCTTTTTGTATGAAGGCTTTTCCACACTCAAGACATGTAAAGGGTTTTTCTCCAGTATGAAGTCTCTGATGCTTCCTAAGGGATGAGCTTTGGTTGAAGGCTTTCCCACATTCACTACATTCAAAGGGTTTCTCTCCAGTATGAATTCTCTTATGTTCAGTAAGTCTTCCTTTTTCTATAAAGGCTTTCCCACATTCATTGCACACAAAAGGTTTCTCTCCAGTATGAGTTCTGTGATGTTTCCTAAGTGATGAGCTTTTGCAGAAGGTCTTCCCACATTCATTACATTCAAAAGGTTTCTCTCCAGTATGTATTCTTTTATGTACACTAAGGTTTCCTTTTTCTATGAAGGCTTTCCCACACTCATTGCAAGTAAAGGGTTTCTCTCCAGTATGAATTCTCTGATGCCCCCTAAGCGATGAGCTTTTGCTGAAGGCTTTCCCACATTCATCACAAGCAAAAGGTTTCTCTCCAGTGTGAATTCTCTTATGTTCAGTAAGTCTTCCTCTCTCTACGAAGGCTTTGCCACACTCATTGCAAACAAAGGGTTTCTCTCCAGTATGAATTTTCACGTGTCCTTTAAGTGATGAGCTATTGCTAAAGAATTTCCCACATTCATTACATTTGAATTGTTTCTCTTCGGTATAAAGTTTCCACTGCTCTTTAAGGGATGCACTGAAGGCCTTTCCACAGTCTTTACATTCAAAGGGTTTCTCTCCTGCATGAATTATCTGATATTCAGTAAGTTTTCCTTTCTCTATAAAGACTTTCCCACACTCATTGCATGCAAAGGGTTTCCTTCTAGCATGAATTTTCTGATGTCTGCTCAATGATGAGTTTTGCCTGAAGGTTTTCCCACATTCATCACACGCAAAGGGTTTCTCTCCTGTGTGAATTCTCTGATGTCTCTTCAATGATGAGCTTTTGCTGAAGTATTTCCCACATGCATTACATTCAAAGGATTTCTCTCCTTGGCGAATTCTCTTAAGAATACTAGGCTTTCCCCTCTGTATGCAGTCTTTTCTAAACTCATTGTGTACAAAAGGTTTTGCCCCACTATAAATTTTCTGATGTCCTCTGATAGATAGCTTTTTGCTCAAGGCTTTTGCACTTTCATTCCATTCACATGTTTTTTCTCCTATAAGTTTTTTATGATATTGAATAAGGTCAGAGTGGAAGCTAAAAGACTTCTTGGGTTTGCTGAACTTCCAATGTTTCTTACCTGAGGAGGTTTTAGGACATTTAAGAATGCTTGAATACTGTTTAGAGCTCTTTCCATGGACACCAGATTTAAAGAGACCGTTTTCTGTTGTAGTTCTCTCTTGTGAAACAAGGACTGACCCCAGGCTGAACTTTTGCCCAAACACATTATATTCACGGATGACTGTCACTGGCTTGGATTTCCTCTCCTGCTTGTCTTTCTGCTTTCTGACATCATATTTCCAGCCTTCTCCCAAATTGCAATTCCAAGGATCATCCTTTGTAAGTCTCAAAAAACTATCCTTCTCTGGAAGAGCCTCCTTGGATTCACTCCTCATCTCCTGATTAACAGAACCTGAAGAAAACAAACCAAAAAAAAAAAAAAAGGCTCAGTATTTACTGTTTCCTGTTGGGAAGAAAGAAAATCTGCTTTTTGTGATTTTTGGACTGTCTCCTCCATGAAGGACTAATGAGCAAAAATATATACAGAAAATTGTTAAGGGTTTGGGAACCACATCATGCTAAGACATGGGAAATCTCTTCCTCACAGAGAAGTGACTGGGTAAAAGTACAGAGTGACACATACACTTTCTGACATGGCCAATGAGCAAATGTATTTTCTTGACTATACATATTTCTCACAAGAGTTTTGGTTTTCTCTTTTTCAATTTGGGTCTAGGAGAGGTAGGTAGATTGGAGGAAGTATGTATTCCAAAAACAGAAAGAAAAAAGAAAACAGGGTCATTGAAGCAATTTTTAAATGAATAGAACAGAAAGAAGGCCAGAAGGAAACACAGACAAGTGGGACAGCTTTGAAAATTACAAGTTAAATGTGTTAAATACATTATATGTAAAAATAAAAGGACAATTTCATGCACAGTCCTCTTCTTTTATTCTATCTTGTATATGGAAATGCTCATTTTATTTGAGTTGCCAAGTTCCAAATAAAAAGAATAAAGTAAAAATAAAAAACCTGGAAACTCTTAAGGCTGAAGAAGAAGGGACTTGGGCAGAAGCATAGCAGCCACCCACAACAATTTAAAATCCTGTCATGGAGATTAGACATTCAGTGCTACTCTAGTGGACAACTCTGGAACCAACCCATTAGAAGCTGCAGGTAGTTGGATGTTTAACTCATTATAACAGAAGAATAAGTGAATAATTAGCTTTCAAAAAATGAACTGTCCTTTACACAAAATAGTGATAATTTCATCTGTGGAAGTATATGAGAAGAAAATGGGTAACTCCATGATAGGGATATTATAAGGCAGATCTCTGCAGGAGTTGAAAGGTTGGGCTAAATAACCTCTCAGGTCCTTTCTAACATTGAGATTTTATCGTTATTAATCTTTCTTATTCATTAGACAGTTACTTGTGAAACATAAAAGAACCAAACAAACCATTTAAGAGGTGTGTATGGGGAAAGAGGAGACACAGCTTAGAAGAAAGGAATATGGCATGTATAGGATATTAAGGAAAAAGCAAAACAAGAGTAGAGTTCATAATCTTGGAATGTAATTTTGGAGTTTCATTAGAGGCCTTGAAAATAAAGTTTACTCATTTAGATTTGGTACTTGGAACAATAATAATAATTTATTATACCCTTTTAAGGAAGGTTCTTTTTTTTCTTTTTTTTTTTCCTTTTTAGGCAATTGGGGTTAAGTGACTTGCCCAGGGTCACACAGCTAGTAAGTGTCAAGTGATTGGTCTGAGGTCGGATTTGAACTCAGATCCTCCTGACTTCAGGGTTAGTGCTTTATCCACTGTGCCACCTGGCTGCCCCTAAGGAAGGTTCTTAAGGCAAAAGATCTTTTATGTACAGCAGTCTAGCATATCAGAGACTGAAGTGAGAGACACCAAGAATCTGCTCAAGTCACCTAAGTGTGAGATGATAAGGACATAAACTGGGTTAACACAGGAACAGAGAATAAGTGAATCCAAGAGACATTAAAGGAAAAACCAAAAGGACTTAGTCATGGTTGTAATCTAGAAAAAAAAAAACTTAAAAAAAAATTTTTTAAAGAAAAAAGTAAAACCTCTTTTTTTGGACTAGTCTTTGTTCAAGAAGCTATCCGTTCCCTAGCCATGCCCCTTCTTTCTCTTGGTAGCCTATTTTTACACTGATCCTTTTCTGAACATCTATTTCTTCCTGCCCCGCTAATAACAAAGCAGCCTATGCACACCCCACTATTGCCTTTATTGACTTTACCTGAGCTGCTCTAATCACGAAGCCGTCATGGCCTAAGGAGCTGTCCTGAAGCACAAACCAAGGAGTCCCCGTGAGAACCTGAGGTAGCCATGCACCAAGTTCTAGGAGCATCTTCCCTCAAAAGCATCATAAACTCCCACTTTCTGCCACGGCCCAAAGCCTCTAGCGATGTCCCTAACTGTAACCTTTCCCTACCCTTCGCAGGCCCACTTTTAGGATGTCAGTCCAGCCCAGGTCAGGGGGAGGAGAAGGGTCAGTCAGGCTGCCTCCTTGTTACCCTTTCTCTCTCATGTTCACCTGGATGTCTTCAAGTTAGCCACGTGGCTTTCTCTTAAAGATGCCAAACAAAAGGCATATTCGTATTGTTTGTTACCTCAGCCATTTCTTCTGCGAAATCCATTTACCCCCAGAAATAGACCCTGACACAGTAACAGGTGCTATTACTTTCAGCTTTTTTTGCCTCTTCCACAAATTTCATTTATTCCTGGCACCCAAAAGATGATGACACTAATTAATGGGATACAGTGAACGAAGGAAGTCACTGCCTTGGAAAAATCCTGGATCAAATGTCAGAAATGAGAAAGTGGGTGAGGATGAATTTTGGGGGGAAAGTTAATCTGTTTTAGATAATACCATATTTGGTAAACCTTTGGTCATCCAAGTAGACATTTTGAAGGCAGACCTAAATGTAGAACTGGCGTGCCAGTGAGTGGTCAAGTAGTTAAACTCATACGTATCGATGTGAATTTGGAAATCAACACTATAGAAGGAATAGTTAAGGGCTTGAGAATGATCTGTCTAAAGGAGTGTGTGAGTGAGTGTGAGTGTGTGTGGGCGTGAGTATGTGTAAGGGGGAGGAGAACATGCATTTTATTAAGCCCCTACTAAGTGACTAGCTGCGTGACCCTAGGTAAGTCATTTCGCCTCTGTCTGCCTTAGCATCCTCATCTCTAAAATGAGAATAATAATAGCAGCTGCCTCCCAGGGTTGTTGTGAGGATCAAATGAGAAAATAACTGTAAAGCGCTTAGCATGGTGCCTGGCTCATAGTAGGGGCTTTATAAATACTTGTTCTCTTCCCCTTAGCCCCTTGAATTTCAGGAGAAGCAAGAGAGACAACACAATGTCAAGGGAAAAAGTCCCAAGATCTGGACTCAGAAAATCTGTGTTCAAGTCTCACTTCTGACACTTATGTGCCATGTCTCAGTAGGGCCAACCAAAAGTGTTTCTTTTTAAAAATACACATCAGGGGGCAGCTAGGTGGTGCAGTGGATAGAGCTCTGGCCTTGGAGTCAGGAGGACCTCAGTTCAAATCCGACCTCAGACACTTGACACTTATTAGCTGTGTGACCCTGGGCAAGTCACTTAACCCCGACTGCCTCACCAACAAAAAAAGGCAAAAAAAGGAAATGAAGAAAAATACACATCAGCCACTAGAAAAAAAAGTAAAGAAGTCTGCAACCAGGAAGAGATTAAAAACAATGCCCTGAAAACAATAGGCATTTAATAAATGGCTGTTAAACTGAATTAAACAGGAAAAAATCATGAGAGTGGGCAGGCAAGGATGGGAACCAGAGTCCAGATGAAAGTGCTAATTAAATGGAGAGAAGAGATAGTTACTTCTAAGACTGGAGTGAAATATGAGGGAGGTAGGGGGAGGAGAAGGAGACAGAGAGACAGAGAGAGAGAGAGACAGAGAGAGAGAGAGAGAGGGAGAGAGGTAGAAGCCTGTGGTAACTTTCTCAAAACTATATTTTTAACTGCAAAAGGCAAAATACAGAGATTCCAAAGGAAACCAATTATATTAAAATATAATTATGAAGATATTAAAAAACAAAACACAAGTACACAGGCCCCAGGTTAAGAACTCTTGCGCTGTACTATTGAAAAACTTGTCCAATGTCTGGGGGCCTTCAGAAGGACAGCTCCAAGGCCAGCACTTCAAAGGGGCTGTCCCATGACTAAAGAGAGGGGCTGTTACTGAAAATCGATCCCGTCTGCCTGGTTATCACTCACTTGCTCACCTGCACAAGCGCCTCTTAGCACTTCTCCCCCTGGCATCAGGGGCACTTCACCATTCTCCAACTGGGAGATCACATCTGATTGGAAAACTAGAAGACCTGCTCCCGGGGAAAAGAGAGAGAGTTATCACAGTGAACAATAACCATAACTTCTCCCACTTGTACAGTACTCCAAGGTTTGCCGAGGCCCTACATATATTATACCCCATCTGCTTTGCTGCTGCCCTAAGGACCACGGAACCTTGCCATCTGACCTCCCATGTTCATCATCAGTTCCTTGAAAGGGCCTGTCTTGATTTTCTATTTGTAACTCCAGGGTTAGCTCAATGATTCATTCAGTACCTTATTTGATCCTCACAACTCTGTGAGCTAAGTACTACTAGGATCTTCATTTTACAGATGGAGATACTGAGGCTTATAGAGATGAAGGGCCTTCCCAAGATAGTACAGCCCGTAAACACGTGAGGTGGAATTAAAACCCAGGTCTTCTGACTCTCAGAACAGTACGTACTTTATCTGCTATGCCACCCTGAGAAGTCACAGGACAGGTATACAAATCCTTTGAAAATCAGTTCATTTGCCCCACTCCCAGGATGAAAGGTTCCTTTTCTCCTTCTTCTTCACTGGGACTTTGATTTCATTGGTGCGGAGAGCTCCTAGTGAGGAAATTTTTTAACCAGTGCAGACCAGCCTCTTCCCTACAACTCAGACGCTTAGAGGGAGGCCCAAGTCACTAAACGATAAGTGACTTGCTCAAGGTCACGCAGCCCAGGGGCAGCAGAAGGGGACTTGAAAAGTCAGGCCTTGTTCACTCTGTCACATGGCCTCAAGGGTCCCTTCTTAATCTTGGAGTGTACCACCAAGGCCGTGGAGGGAGAGGGAGGCATCGCCATCAAGGCTGTACAGAGAAGGTGGAGATTCACAGTTTAGAAAACAAAGACCTGTCACCTGGGAATGACTGGAGAGCATAAACATTATTTCTCTTGACTCTAAACCAAGGGTTTTTCACCTTTTTGAGGTGTCCTGGGCCCCTCTGTCTGGTGAAGCCTATGGATCCCCTGATCAGAATCATGTTTTGAAATGCATTTAACAAAATACATAAGGAAACCAATTATACAGAAATACAATTCTCTAGATATGTATACATGTGTTTTATAAATAAAAATAAGTTCATGGTTAAGAATCCCAGCTTTAGACGATTTAGAAATCTCTCTTCTTCACTACTTGTGTCCTTACATACTCCTGGAAACCAAGCCAGGCCCTGCTGGTGGCAGGAGCAATACTCTAATGCAAGTTTGGCTAATTTTTCCTTAAAAGGTTCTGAAACCATCCTCAAGACTGTTAGCCCAGGGCACTAAAGGTTCAGGCTGTGGCATCGCTGCCTGGGTACAGCACAGCCACAAGGAGCTCCATGGACCCTCGCCTCTGTCCGGCTGGTGGATCGTGATGTGCGAGCCAGACAAGGGAGCTTCTCTCCGCTGAATCAACCTGAAGCATCCTCAATGCCATGCCTCACTGAACATTGTGAACACCCTTCTCCTGCTACAGCTCAGTACGTGTCCTTTTGTGAACTGCAGAATGATCCGAACTACCTACTAGTACAGCACCCACCTGCCTAGCCCGAGTCAGGCCCAGCCCAGAATGCCAGGCGATCACTTCAGAAACCCCACAGCCTTTTACGAGTAACAATGCACACTGCCGCCACGGAGAGCTGGAGATTCCCAGAGAAAAGCTGTCCTTACCCAAGGACACGAGGTTCTGATAGTTCTCCAGCATCACATCCCGGTACAGGTCTCTCTGAGCCGCATCCAGACGCTTCCACTCCTCCCTTGTGAAGTCCACGGCCACATCCTGGAAAGTCACTGATTCCTGAAACAGCAAACACATTCCTGCTCACCACGGGAAATTCCTCCCATGCGCCATGGAGGAGGAATGAAGCAGGCAGGATGGATAGGGATGTCTGGCGCTGAGGGGATGAGGAGGCCATATCCAGTATTTACTGGTACTCACCTAGCATCACCTTGTGGCTGAGACCTCAGCACACAGGGTGTTTTAGTTACAAACCATCACCCAAAGTGAGCCCCAAGGGAATCACAAACTTTACTGTTAAACCACAGAGTTAAGAGAATCAACATACAGATCTCATACACACATAACCCTGACATCAATTATCTCTCCAGAGATATGATTTTCCAAACAGCTATAGGACAGCAAACACTCTCCATGACTGCACCAGATCTGTGGTAGAATTACTCAGAAGACAAGGAGCAAACAGCATATTAAGAGGGGGCTCTCCCCGCTTCCTGTCACTAACGTGACCCTGATTTCTGGGCCAAACCACTGCTTCCCTTATTCAAGAATGCCCTCTCACTCTGCCTTCTGACTTCCCTGGCTTCCTTTAGGCCCCAGCTAGGATTCCAGCTTCTACAGGAAGCCTTTCCCAACCCCTTCCAATTCGAATGCCTTCCCTCTGTTAATTATTTTTCATTTATAGCTGTGTGTGTATGCATGTACATATACATATATACTATGTGTGTACAGCTATGTGTACGTATGTGCGTGTATCTCCTTCATCGGTTTGTGAGCTCCTGAGAGGCAGGAACAGTCTTTTTCCTCTTTCTGTATCTCCTGCATGTCCCACAATGCTTGCAGTAAAGGAAAAGAAAAGAACAACAGAAGTAATCCAAATTCTGAGTACCAGTAAAAATCAGTCTTACTCCATTAAAGGAGATGAAGAAAAATACTTCTCTTCTCAATAGAGGTGGAAGGCTGAGGGGGCAGAATGTTGGATAACGTCTGAGGCAGAGAGGTGTCAAACTTGTGGCCTCCTATGCTGCTCCAATTGGGAAATGTTTAACCAAATAAATAAAAATACAGTGCAACACGGATAATGTTAATTGATGGTTTTCTAAGTCAAGATGCAGCATACAGTCACTTCTATTTGAGACTGACTCCACTGGTCTAAGGTCATTATTTCAGCTGGGCTTACTTAACCATTTGGCTGGGTTACAAGGGAGTGTTTCACGCCTCAGGGCTAGAGGAGAAGGTATTTATAAATGACTCATGCACATCAAAAGGCATCAGTAAGAGGGTATTTTTTTTTTTAAACAGCATAAGCAGAGCCGCACAGGTAGGACAGTGTGGGGCATCTCTGAAGATCATGAGTCTAATCTGGCTGAAGCATGTCAACGTGGAATTAAGTGAAGTAAGTGCAGAAAGTTAAGATATGGCCAGAATGTGAAAGGAATGCCACACTTAGTTTGAGCTTCACCTAATGGGAAAGATGAAGCTACTAGAGCAGAGAAGTGATGCAATCCGGTCAGTGCATCAAGAGGAAGGACAGACTGGAGAAGGAAAATGCCCAAGGACAGCTCAGCAGCGGTCGAGGTGCAAAGTGATGAAGGCTGGCATCAGGGTGACTGCAGTGAGAATCCGCCCGGTAGCCTGTAGAAGCCCCAGCGCCCTAAGGGAACACTTCCCTTTATCCTCAAACTTTCTCATCACTTCCTTCTACCTCTCTACTGGGACAAAAAGGTAGATGTCCTTTAAATGCCCGGCCTCACATCCCCTACTGCTGAGGCCTCACATCTCTTCCTTCCCCTATACCAATGGAGGGGAAGGGGTTCTCCTGCCCCTTGCTCTCTGTGACCATTTCCAGACCAATGATCCACCAAGCTCTCTTCCTTCCAGTTGAAAAGCATGTCAATCACTGAGCATGTGCTGTCTTCAGTCCAAGTACTGCCCTCTATCCTTTGCTATCGTCTACCATTTCTACCTCCCCATATGAATTCAGCTCCTGATTCCCATTTCCACTATCACCCTCACTGATGTCAACACTCCACTGCAGGCACATGACTTGAACATTCATTGGCAGCTCTGACCACCACCTTCACCCCACGGCCAGTCGTCCATTGCCCGGCCATGGCCCAGGCCATGCCACCACATGACACTGCCTTGCCTCCCAACGTCTCAAACCTGACAGCTGGGGTTCCTTCCTTGAAAGCCACTCTCTCGCTCTCCATCATCACCTGACGATGCTCTCTGAAGCCTCCCCAGTATCTCTGATGACTCAACCCAAGCCAAAGCCCCAAAGGGATTCCAGAGCTTTAAACCAAAAAATGCCCCGCATGATTAAGAGCATGAAATACTTGAATCTGGTTGATGGCAAAGTTCATTGTATTGAAAAAAGAATAAACCTTGCATCCCCTTTTTAAACACTATGATTAACTAAGAAAGACTAACAGAGGAAAGGCTAATTAAAAAATATATAATGCTAGTAGTAGGGGGTCCATAGGTGTGATATATAACATATAATGTCAGATTTTTTTCCATGTATTTATCAATATTGCTGAATTTTTTTCTCTCTTTTTATTTAAAAAAATTATGTGTTCTAAGAGTTGACTGTCTGGAAGGGAAAAGAGAGTAGGATACAGGTGGAAATTCAGACAATGTACAAAGAAAACAGATCAATAAAATGTAGTTTAAAATAATATTGCAGAATTTAAGTGGAATCACTACCACCATTTTAAAAACAAGATTTTATGGAACGGATTTAATGGCAGATCTCAATAATATGTTGCCAAGAAAAACTCAATATTGAATACAGAATGGGAACATAATTAATACAGAGATTTAAGCTGAAAGCTTGGTACAGCCAATTAAAGCCAAGTGGTAATGGCAAGGGTGACCGTGGCATTTGCCTAATGTAAAATTCAAAGAGATCTGCGACAAACACTTTTAGTTAATCCACCTAATTTCCAGGACCTAGCAAGGACTTACACCTACAAAAGTAATTCTCACTAAAGCAAAAAGCAAAACAGGCAGCTTAGTGTAAGGGGCCCCATTGTGGAGAGATCGCGGCAGGTGGAGGTGGCAGGCCTGGATCTGAATGTGCTACTTAGGACCTGTGTGAGCCCACAGAGCTCCAGACAGCGGTCAGACTGGTTAAGTGACCAGCTTCAGTTTCATCTGAAAATAAGCCTTGGGCTAAATGATTTTTTTTCCCTCATTCTTTTAATTTTACTCTAATTTCCATGAACAAATTCAAGAATTCAAAAGTAGTAACAAGAAAGAAAACTGAAAGGAAAACCTAAACAACCCATCTAACTGTGGCTCAGACATAAAGGGTTATGAGTCTTGACTATCCCCACTCTAGCCAGGCCGGTCTCCACCCAAGTTCCCCTGGGTGACAAGTCAATCAGTCACTCACCAAGCATTTATGAAAGGCCCACTGCGTGCCTGGCACTGTGCTAAACACTGGGGTTACAATGAAAGGCAAAAAACAGCTCCGGACTGCAAGGACCTCAAAGGGGAGACAACCTCCAAATAACTAGCTACGTACAAGATATATACAGACTTGTTGTTCTCTCATTTCAGTCACATCCAACTCTTCATGACCCCACTTGGGTTTTCTTGGCAAAGATCCTGGAGTGGTTTGCCATTTCCTTCTCTAGCTCATTTCATAGATGAGAAACCCAGGCAAACAGGGTGAAGTGACTGGCCCAGGGTCACACAGCTAGGAAGTGTCTGAGGCCAGATCTAAACTCAGGAAGATGAGTCTTCCTGACTTCAGCCCCAGTGCTCTAGCTACCAAAAGGGAGAGAGGGGGACCAGAAGATGGAAAGAAGGACAAGTAATAGGAGGATGACTACAGCAGCATGGCACGGCCCTATAAACATGCCCTCAGGAATGCTAAAAAAAAAAAAAAAAAAAAAAGTAGATTGAACTGAGGAGGGCAAGGACCACCATGGACTCTAACAAACGGGGCCTTCTTCCAACACATGTCGAGAATGTAACAGATCAAAGAAGGGATATCCCCACTGTTTGGTGTGGCCGGGACAATAACGGATATGGAGAGAGCGCAGAACTATGACACTTTCATTCTCTTTTGGGGGGAATGACTTAGAATTTTCTTGGACCTAGAAAGAGTAGAACAAAAACAGCTACTACAGAGTTGGAACCCAAGGCATACTGTATGAACTGGCATCTGGGACTGCCGAGTTCCTGGCAGTGATCGCTGAAAGGGGATGGAATACTGTGGTGTGGTGAGGGACCTGGGGAGACCGGCAGGCACTGGTTCAGAGTAGAACCAGGAGAACAATGTATGTAATGACCACAATGCTACAAAAGGAAAAAACACTTTGAAAGGCTTGAGAAATGTGATCAATGGCCCATCCTGAGTCTACCAGACTGACAATAAAGCATGCTTCTTACTTCATGGCACAGAGGTGGGGGGCGACAGGCACAGAATGGAGCATTTGCTTCTGCACATGACCATTACAACACAAATCTGTTTTGCTTGACTATACTTTTGCTATAAGAAAGAGCTTTTATTTGAGGGGAAAAGGGGAAGGGAAAGGAATAAGCATTTTTATAGTGCCTAATGTGCCAGGCACTGTGCCTAAGCACTTCAGCAAATATTATCTCATTTGATCCAACCCTGTGAGGTAGGTGATGTAATTATCCCCACTTTACAGTTGAAGAAATTGAGGCAAATGTAAGTTAAATAATTTGCCCAGGATCACACAGCTAGTATCTGATGCTGAACGTGAACTCAGCTCTTCCTGACTGCAGGTCCAGGCCTCTATCCATGTACCACAAGAACACGGCCTGCCAGAATCATCCTTTTTCCTTTTTCAACAGTTACAGGGCTGGTGATCAGGAGAACAGGGTAGGTGCTCACCCCCAGTGACATCTACCATTCTACTAAGATACAAGCTCACCATCTGATAACATCACACATGCTATTCATTTGGACTCTTGGAGCACACAGTAACAGCGATATTGTAACAATAATCAGCCGTGAAAGACTTGGCTATTCTGATCAATACGACGATCCACAACAGTTCCAAAGGGCTCATGATGAAAAATGCTGTCCATCTCCAGAGACAGAACTGATGGGCTCTGACTGCAGATTGAAGCAGATTTGTTTCACTTTTTTTTTTTTTCATTTTCTGTATTTTTCTTACCTATTTTTTCCTGGCAACATGGCTAATATTGATATATGCTTTGCATGACTTCACATAATAACGAGTTTCTTATTGCTTGCCTTTTCAATGGGTGGGGTTGGCTCTGGAAGGAGGGAGATAATTTTGGAAGTCAAAATTTTAAAACGAACATAAAAAACAATAGCAATAATAAAGAAATTGGGGCATGGCAAAAACAAAAACAAAAACATAATCTACTCTCTGAGTCTTCCAGAGAGCCTGGGATTCCCTCAGCCTTCCTCACCAGCATGGTACACATGTATATCTGCAGAGTTGATTGGGACTTCTAAAGCTATACACTTTCTGCTGAATATGTGAGTGGCTATGAGTACCACCTGAGGGGCACGGTTATTTGTATTTGTTTTCTTTTACCCTTTTGTTTCTTTATTTTGTTCTTGTTTATCTATTTTTGTATTTGTAAGTGATATATGAGCAAGGTATTAATAAAATATTATAAGAAAATAAAAGGAATAGCTGGAGCAATGTGGGTCATAATACCCTTATATAGCGCACTTAGATTTGGAACTGGTTAAGTGGCTAGACCCAAACAGAGGTCACTAACTAAGGGTAAGAAAGAGGCCTCCAGGATGGCACCTGAAGAGGTCTATGCCGTACAAAAACAGCCCCTGTGCCTGTGGGGCATTGGAAATATTCCACTATTCACCCGCCCAAGTCTTGGTTTCTTCATGTGTTCAGTAAAGGGGCTGAACTACATAAAGCTTGAGACCCTGCCAGCTCTACTGATCCCAAGACTGCCTGACTTCTAAATCCTCCATCAGAAGAGAACAGTCAGTCTTCTGGGGGGTCAGGATCCCTGACTGGGCCATAGCTGACCAGAAAAGATCCAGGACAAAGGAAAGCCAAGTGTCCTCACTCTGAGAAAGAAGATGGCATCTGAGGAGAGAAGAAACCCTAACTCACCTGGTATCTGGCTGGCAGCATTGAGGACGCCATTTCTCCCTCCTTTCTCTGTGCTCCTTTCCTGAAGGGCAGAGTCTTGAGAAAGCAGAGCTGTGGAACAAGAAAAGAGGCCATGAAGGACAATCCTGCCTCGAAGCTCCCACACTGTCAGGGCAGAATTTCCCAGGTGCCAGCAGGGCAGGAGGCCCTGGCTCCTTTAGAAACAGTGGTTAAAGAGAACCTTGTGAGCAGCCCAAAATCTCTCTCTCTGCTTCAAAGCTGCCCCAGCTCCCTTTGCTTCCTGGAGCCTCAGTTTCTTCATCTGCTCTGCTAGTCCCAGATACTTGTGAGGGCAAAATGAAATCATGGAACTGGAAGCATTTTGGCAAGTGAAACACCAAAAGGCATACATCTCAGATGGATGGACCGAAGTCAGGCTGGAAGGCCGTCTCTAGGAGACACAGGCCACAACAATTTTCAACCCAAGATTTGGACTTTGGCTCAGTCAATCAACTAATACTTCTTTGGTGCCAAATCCATGGATGATAGGAAGCCAATGATGAGTACGTACCAGGAGGTGCAGGAGGAAGGGCCTCTGTCTGCCCCGGAATTCTCTCTTCTCTCCCATGGTCACCAGGTGGACTCCTGCCTCCCACACTGTCACCCATATCAATAGTTTTCCCTTCTTTCCTTAAGCACTGAGGCCAGGGTTTCCACATTTACACAGCCACCCCCTCCTCATAATTTCTTTGATATTCTACATTTACCCAAGTTCTGTCCTCAAGACTGGAGGATCAGAAACCAGTCTAGCGACAGTCCCAGGATCTGCTCCTTTCCAGAAATTTCTGCCCTGAAATTACGAGGAAAGGTCTCAGGGTAGGAAGGTCGTCATCTTGGATTGGTCCCTGCATCCCAGGGGTATTCTTTACCAACTTCTCAATCCTGGAATCTGGGGGATCAAAGACATAAAGGCCACTTTAGTTGGAACCTTCACTCTGACAGACACTTACTAGCTAGGTGAAACTGGGCAAGTCACTTCACCCTGTTTGCCTCAGTTTCCTCATATGGAAAATGAGATGGAAAAGGAAATGGCAAATCACTCACTTTCTTTGCCAAGAAAGCCCCAAAAGGGGTCACGAAAAGTCAGATACAACAGGACAGCAGCAGTAGCTTCCAGGGCTCTGCTTACATAGCCAGGGTTCCTGCCCACTCTAACAGGTCCCTGTTGAGTATCACCAATTCACCAAGCACATAATGCAAACTCGCTATGGGTTCAGCCTTGCAGTAGGTACAAGAAGGGATCAGAAACAGCTCCAAAGCCATGTGTGTGTGTACATGCACACATACACATGCTTAATATATAATAAGTAGTATATATATTTATGTATTATATAATATATATAATAAATAATAATAGTTAGCATTATATAGCACTTTAAGACTTTCAAAATACTTTATAAACTTTCATAACCTCCTGGGAGGTAGATACTATTATTATCCCCATTTTACATATGAAGAAACTGAGGTAACCAGAGGTAAAGTGACTTGCCCAGGGTCAAACAGCTAGTATGTGTTGGAGGCCAGATTTGAACTCATATCTGGTGCTCTCTGCAGTACTCCACCTGGTTGTCTGAATGAGAAACACAGAGGCACTTCAATACTACAAAGAGACATGACTCCTTCCAGGGGGGACAGTCCTTTCACAGATCCAGGTTCCAACGTCCCACTGGTGAGCCTCTGCATGAGTCGCAGTGGGTGAGAAGAAGCCACATACATGGTGACCAGGCTTCTGGGACAGAGCTCTCCACAATAACAAAGAGCAGACAGAGGATTCCGGATGAGAAGTCACTCCACCAATAGAGCTCCGATGTAGTCTCAGAGATCTGGCCGGGCACTTGGCGGGGGACACGGAGCCCCTAGGTGTCAGACGCCAGACACGAAGCCAGGCCTTTCTGGCCCCACGGCCAGCGCTGGAGCCATGGGGTCATGCTGAGTGTCTACACATCCCATTTCTCCTAAAGCCCCACTACGAGGAAGGGGAGGGAGGGAGATTACACAGCCAGCTGTCTGCAGAGCAGGACTAGAACTTCCCTGTTCTGAGGCCTTCATGCTGCTTTTTCATCTTCTTTCTAAAATGAGGAAAATTAGGCCCAGAAATATTAAGTGATTTGTCCAAGGTCACACAAATGCTATAGACAGGATTTGAACACAGGGCTTTCCAGACTCTAGGTTCAGTACCCAGAAGAATTCTGTGGATAGAGGTTTGGTCTTGGAGTCACAAAGTCCTGAGCTCAAATCAAACCTTGGCCACATACTAGCTGTGCGACCCTGGGTGAGTCTACCTTTGCCTCTGTTTCCTCAACTGTAAAATGGGGATAACAATAGCACCTACAGGGTTGTTGTAAGGATCAAATAAGATAATATGTGTAAAGGGCTTTACAAACCTTTTAAGCTATATAAATGTCAGTTGTTAGAGGCTATGTGATTGCATAAGTGTGGCTACACGTTCTGCCTCTCTGTAAATCTGCTTTAAATTGGTGCTTGGCTTCATAAAGAACAGATCTCAAAAGAGGCAAGCACAGGGGAGGCTTCTTGTAGGTGGTAGTAACTGAGCTGTGACTTGAAGAAGGCTAAGGATCCTAAGAGCATAAGATGAAGGAAGCGTGCAAGGGGCACAGCCTGTGCAAATGCATGGAGGCTGGAGCTTGAAATCACCCTTAGGTGAACCATAAGTAGTCCTAAAAAGGGAAGAATGTGAAATACTGTAGGGAAGGTCAGCTGGAGTGACAGCAGCTCTGGAGGAGGAGAGCACTTAGATGTGAGGAAGAAGAGAGAAAGGGAAGAAGGGAAACTGGGAGGAAGGAGCGAGAGGGAGGAAGAAAGGGGAGTGGGAGGGAAGGGAAGGGAGAGGAGGGAGGAGGGAAGAAGGAAGAAAAGAAGGAAGAGAGAGAGGGAAGGAAGGAGTAGGAAGGAAGGGTGAGAAGAGTAGGGTGGGGAGGAGGGAGCAGGGAGGGAGGAAGGAAGTAGGGGTGGGAGGAGGAAGGAAAAAAGGGATGGGAGGAGTGGGGAAGGTACGAAGGAAAGAAGGAAGGGAGAGAAGAAAGAAGGAAGGAAGGAAGGGAGGGAGGGAGGAAGGAAGGGAGGGAGGGAGGAAAGAAGGAAGGAAGGAAGGAAGGAAAGAAGGAAGGAAGGAAGGGAGGAAGGAAGGGAGAGAGGAAAGAAGGAAGGAAGGAAGGAAAGAAGGAAGGAAGGGAGGAAGGAAGGGAGGAAGGAGAGGAGGGGAGAGAGGAAAGAAGGAAGGAAGGAAGGAAAGAAGGAAGGAAGGGAGGGAGGGAGGAAGGAAGGGAGGGAGGAAGGAGAGAAGGAGGGGAGAGAGGAAAGAAGGAAGGAAGGAAGGAAAGAAGGAAGGAAGGAAGGGAGGAAGGAAGGAAGGGAGGAAAGGAGGAGGGAGGAAGGGAGGGAGGGATCAAGGGAGGGAGGAAAGAAGGGAAGAAGGAAGGAAGGAAGGAGCACCGCACCCAACCTGGGCCTGGACCCCCTCCCCCACCCGCGCAGAGGCCCCCTCCCCACCTCGGACACACTCACGCGTGCACCCCCGGCCCGTGAGTCACTGGGTGTCTCTGATGCTCTCGCAGGGGCCCCGCACCGTTAGCCGCGCGTGCGCACTGACTCCCTTCCCTCCCCCCCCCCCCCCCTTCGAAATGCCCCCCGAACAATAGCCCCCGAACCCCCGACCCCACAAAGAGCGGGACCGAGAGCCCACAGAACCTCCGAACTACCACTCCCAGAATCCCTCGGATTCCCAGGCGAGCTAGGCCGGCCGGGCCCTCGGAGCCGAAGGGGCCGTGCGCAGAACCTTGCGGCATACCAAGGAACTCTGGGAAATGGAGTCGCGTGACTCAAAAGAGCCTGGTACTTGTAAGCAGGTGGGTAAAACTGCGCAGGCGCATTGCGCAATCCTCAGGCACCCTGGGCTGAGCACCAGCCCGCAAACCTCGCTGTCTGAGGCGCTCAGAGAGCATGCGCAGGGGGAGCTTTGTGTGCGCCAGGTGCCTCCTTCGGGCATCGGGGTCTCATGCGACCCCTGAGCCGTGCCCGGGCTGCCGAGCTTTGAGAAAATCCCTGCTGTGCCCTTGTGACCTAGGTTATTGATAATGCACACAAATGGCCGGTGAACCTTAAAGAATCGATCTGAATCAGTGGTCAGCAGCGTTCTTCCCCCGCTCGGTGGGATCTCACCTTTTCTGCCATCACTCACCGGGTCCTTAAGCGCCTCCTATGCGACGGACCCTGCGCTGAGCCGAGGCAGCGCGGGCACAAAGCGCACGGCTGGAAGGCTCTCCCTCCTCTTCTCCATCTCCATCTGCTGGCTTCCTGCAAGACTCAGCCAAAATCCACAGAATGCCTTTAAGGAGCTCTCTTTAAAATATATGTGTGTGTGTGTGTGTGTGTGTGTGTGTGTGTATATGTATACACATATATGTATATATATATATAAGCAATACTCTTAATCCTAGTGCCTTCTATTGATTATTTCCAATTTATTCTGCACTCTTGTTTGCACAGCTATTCTCATGTTGCCTCCCCGATCAGACTGAGCTCCTTGAGAACAGGGACTTTTGCCTTTGTAGCCTGCTTTGTATAGTGCCTGGCACATAGTAGGCGCTCAGTAATGTTTGATTTACCAACAAAAAGGAATCCATACTTAATAAATGCCGGAAGGATAACTGATTAACAATAGAGAGAAAAGTTTAGATCCACAACGATACTGTTGCATGTGTTTGCTTATCTGTTGGACTAGCTGATGCCCGTTAAGCCAGCAAAGATTCAAACAGGTTTTATTCCCCCCGCAAAGTGTCGCGTACCCTCCCAGCAGTTGACAGGGAATGTGCATTCACATTCAGCTAGTATGTGAAACAAACAAGGGAATGAACAAAAAAGATGGCTGCTCATTGCAGTACATCTGGCCATACAAAGGAAATAAAATATGCTTGTTAAAAAGTATATATCATTAGCTACAGAAGATAAATAAGGGATGTGTTCTTGTTGTCATAGTAGTATAGCTAGTTTCACTAAATCAGAGGGAGCTACCTGTCCAGATAAGGAAGAAAGCTATTCCAGAGGCTAAAGTTCTCCTTTTATGTTTTTTAATTTTGTTTTGTTTTGGTAGCAGTTAGAGAGAAGCATCAATACGTTGAAGCCGGTCGACTGTGGTAGATGGCCCTGCAGTTCATGTAGGGGTCATACACAGCAAGTGTTCACTACAGAACAAAGTGGAGTCAGTTATGTTCTCCCCAAAAAGTCACTTTCAACAATACCATATACAATACATTCTAGATAGAGCCCAGCCTGAGCCCCTCATCACTTGAAGAAGGCCATAAACCTGGTCTGGCCAATTGGAGAGGATGATTTGAACCATTCTGGACTGACATACCAATAATCCTTTGCACTGCTCTGTGAGTGAACCCGAATTCCTCCTGCTGCATCAGCAATCACAAGATCGGATTAAGCTTGCACAGACATCCTGAGTCAGGGGCACTTCCTCGCCTTATGGAAACTGTAATCTTGGCTGACAAAAGGCCAGCCATCCTGAGTCAGGGGCACTTCCTTGCTTCATGGCTTTATAATCTGTGCAGCCCAACCCAAAAGGGAGCTCAGTTCTGACTGCAGCTCCGCATGCATGCATGCCCGCCCACTTGAGAGAAATAAACACACATACAGCCTAATTCTATTTGTCTTTCTTACACTAAACTCTGGAGGCTGACAATAGAGAAATGAATTCTACATAATGAATTTGTGTGTGCATCATGTTGTTATGCTTTAGGTTATGCATCTACATACAGATGTATATATACACATACTTCCATGCATTATACAACATATATATGTGGAGAGGGGGGAGGAAATTAACTAGAAGTAAATGGATGGCACTCCTTGATACAGAGGTGAGTTCATTTTTACTATTGCTTCAACACCAAAGAATTTCAGGGGCTATGCTGATAGATTTAATTATATAAAAATAATGAGCATGGCTATATAAGGATACTTGGTAGAATTTACAAGGAACCGATACCTCTGTCCAATGGAATATGCAGACAATTGACACAAGAAAATAAAAAACAATTTGGAAAGAAAAACTTTGGAAAATGTTCACCAACATCAAAGCATTACAAAGCAACACAACTATGAGGTCCCATCTCCTGCTCATTAAAGTTGTTTTTTGGGCTTTTTTGTTTGTTTGTTTGTTTGCTTATTGCAGTGTCAATAAAGCTATTAGGGGAATCTAAATTCATTAACTACTGGTTTGCGGTGGTCTTCATGGTTAGCATTCTGGAAATATTCAAATTACATGACATAAAACTGGTCATACCTGTAGAACCAATAATCCCACTACTAAGAATATATGCTTAGAAAATAATTTAAATTAATGAGGAGAGGCGAGGAAGAGACATTTAGTAAAAGACTTATAAACTTATAAATTGCTAGAGCTGGAAACAAGTTAATTTTATTTTATAAACCAGCAAACAACATGTAAGAAAACATGACATCTCAACTATCTAGTATTTAAAGTTATAAGAATGAATACAATTTACTCTAATTAATACACCCCAGAAGCTCATCAATAACATGAATTTTATGATGTCTGATGAAAAACAAATTACCTCTGAAAAGTTTTTCAGTGATCATTACATTCAAAGGGCTTTTTTCCATTTAAAAATTTTAATTTGTATTCCAAACTTTAATGCCAAAAGAGCATTTTTCTATTTATACACAGAACACAAAAAAGAATTATATAAGATACCATGAATTTCCATTTCATCCCAATTTCCTCTTTAAAAAAGTGTATAATAAATGGGAATGTAACCCTGTCTTCAAACCCATTCCTGCGGGACTCTCTCCTTGTTTGTGGAGAATGCCCTGTCCTGTGGGAGGGGTGGGCAGAGTTGGCCAGGCAGAGAGCTCAAGCCTTCCCCAGTCCTGCTTGGGGACTCTCAGGGCACATACCAGTTCATCTTCCACATTCCAGTGGAGTCACTTCTGGCTTCCAACTTCAAGAGAAAAGATAGAAGAGGCCAACCACACTTCAGGTTGCTGAAGAAAAGACTCCGGGAAGACATGAGAGGAACTGGCAGTCTCCATCATGTCCTTATTCCCAGCTTACTGCACCAGAGACTACAGGGAGTCTCCCCTTGGGTGAGATCCAGGTCTTTCTCTCTAGAGTGGGTGCATTCTCTCTCTCCCAATGAAGAGAGCCTTCATTCAGTATTATTCAGTACATTCTCCTATGTAACCTTCTCTGATTTCTGTTTAGCTACTGATTTGGAGAAATGGGTTTCTTTGCTATGTGTATTCTTTTTTTTTCTTTATATTCTCTCTCTCTCTCTCTCTCTCTCTCTCTCTCTCTCTCTCTCTCTCTCTCTCTCTCTCCCCCTCTCTCTCTCTCTCTCGGCTAGGCCAGGGTCACACAGCTAGTAAGTGTCAAGTGTCTGAGGCCAGATTTGAACTCAGGTTTTCCAGGGCCTTTTCTTTCATATATATCTATATCTATATATGTGTGTGTGTACATACATACATACACATATATATGTACATACATACATACATACATGCATTATATATATAACATGAGTATGTATGTGTATTCTTTATGTCTATTATTTTTATGTCTATTTTTAGATTTTCTTTAATTTGCTATGTGGATTCTTTGTGGACGTGGGATTTGGTGGGAAAGGGGTCAAGCCTTGGATATATATCTTGGAAGTCTCCCTCCTCCCCAGAAATGACAAAGTAATCAGAAGTAAGAATGAACCCAATCTTGTCTCCTAGACTAGCAGTATTGAAGGGAACAGATCAATATGTTTCTAGCCAAGTGCCCCCCTCTCTAGGTGAAGCTTCTGGTTCCAACTTCTTGCTTCCCATCCTGGAACAAATGAAAGTCTCCTTTGGAGAAGGATGAGGGGAGAGGAGACTAGAAATGTCTATTTGGCTTCTCTTTGAGACCCATGAAGGCTGTTCTTCATCAACATGGGCCTTTCCCCTCTACACCATATTCATTCCAAAACTGTCCTGCTCATCTGTGCTTCCTTCCGAATCTCCTTCTGTTCTCTTCTGTACATTGAAAACAGTTTTAGGATAAAAAAAATCCCTTGCTAACTCCTGCTCCCCCAATTAGGAGAGAGAAATCTTTGTAATAAATAAGCACAGTCAAGTAAAATAAATCCACACAGTGGCCATGTCCGAAAACTGTGTGTCTCTTTCTGCACTTTGTGTCCATCATCTCTTTGTTAGGAGGTGGGTAACTTGCTTCATCACAGGTCCTCTGGAGATAGATGTGATCATTGTTTTGATCAGAGTTTTTAAGTCTTTAAAAGTTGTTTTTCATTGCAACTCATATCTTTTGCCTTTTGGAATATTGTATTCCATGATCTCCTCTCATTTTTAGTATAAGCTGCTGCCTTTTCTGGGATCCTAGTGGTTTTTCGTTGGTGCTTGAACTGTTTTTCAATGCTTACAGTATGTTTTCTTTGATAGGAATGCTCTGGATTTTGACTAGAATATCCCTGGGACCTTTCCTTTGATTGATTCTTTCTTTCAAGAAGTGATTGATGGAGTTTCTCTTCAATTTGCCCTATAGTTCTAGTGTATCTGGGCAGTTT